CACAAATGGCGGTTTCCTAAAATCGGGGTACCCCCAAATCATCTAAAAATAGACAATTTTAGAACTAGGAAACCCCTATTTCAGAAACCGATTTATTGGAGGTACCATATTGTTGTTGAAGTCTATGTGCTGGCTAAATTTCAGGGGATATACCCCCCAAGACGGCTTTATAGATCTGAGTAAACTATATAGTGACCTCACTGCGGCTGAACCCTGGAGTCATGGTTAGGATTCGGGGAATTATCCCCAAGATAGATGTATCTTGAGATGGATACACTTTGATTGGGTGAACTCTAAACATGGACCATAAAGAATGTTAAACCCCTCCTGAAGTATGGCGAGTCTGAACAAAACAAACGGCATCAGAAAAAAATTGACATAATATCGACCCACCCCAACAAGTACACTGATGATTCAATATTATTTTGCAAAAACTGACTCAATACCGAATCACCACAATAATCGGGATGTTACATTATATATTATGATATATATTATATATATATATCATATATATATATATATCACATATATATAAGGATATCATTTATATATATATGTATCATACATATCATATATATATAATATATTTTTATTATAATATATACATAACATACATTTATATATGTATATAACATATATTCATATATGTATCATATATATCATATATATCATAAATATCATATATATCAGATAATTAATATCATCATATATATCATTTATATCAAATATAACATATATATATATCATTTATATCATATATATATATATCATATATATCATATATATCATATATATCGTATATATATATATCACATATACCATCATATATATATCATATATATCATATATATATCATATATATCATATATATCATATATCATATATATCATATATATCATATATATCATATATATCATATATATCATATATATATCATATATATCATATATATATATCATATATATCATATATATATCATATATATCATTTATATGATATATATATAATATATCATATATATCATATATATAACACACATATATATATCATATTTAATTATATATCATATAAACCATATATATATAAATATATATATATCATATATAAATATATTTATATATCATAAATATATCATATATATATATATATATATCATATATATCATATATATCATATATATCATATATATCATATATATCATATATATCATATATACCATATATACCACATATATATATATATTGTATATATCATATATATCAGTTATATCATATTTATATATATACATGATAAATCATGTCATATATATGTATATATATATCATATATATATATGTGTTATCAAGCACACATATATATATATACATATCGAACTAGTGTTCATGGCCTTGTAAACCACATAACTTGGGGGGCACCACATTGTACCATTTATCAGAGGAACTTGGTGACGCGCAGGTCCTGTTGGACGAAGAAGACGCTTCCGTAGCTGTGCAGCGTAGTGAGCTGATGATTTGAGGCGTCCCAAGGGGATGTTTTTGGTGGGGTTTCAGCAGAACGCTGGGAAAACATATGATATGTTCACAGTTCAAGATGGGAATATCAAGCAACAAACATGGAGGACTTCAGCAACAAAAATAGATGATTGAATCACAAAAACATGGAGATTGAACCACCAAACATGTAAAAAAATCACAGCCGCAGGATGGACATTCACAACCAATAGACATGCGAATTCAATGGAATTCATCAGACTCGTTTTCGGATGAAGATAGCCTGCCAGAGAAATTGAATCAGATGATAGGTACAGGATGGTACAGGGTACATCAGGGGACCATCCCAAGTTGGAAAACTGTGCTTTGGACTGCCAGGTGAAATCTACTCCTTCCAGCGCTGAGTTCTTTGGATATCTCGGCGGCTAGTTCTGTGGGCTGCGACAAAAAGTGGTTCACAAGAGGCTATTCCAAGAGGCTTGGGAACTGGGGTGCTTTGACATGTATGATGTGAAACAATGAGTCCTCGTAGGGGTCTCAACCAATGCTTTATACTTTTTAATTTTTTTTGATCGATTGGGGATGGTTTACTATTGGGTTTACCATAGAGTAGCCAGAAAATGGGGCTGTGCTAAAGATGACCTCAAGCGCTCCGCTTCCGTATCCATCTTTGCAAGGTTTCTCATGTCTTGCTTGACCCACCCCAGTCATTGTTTCCATTTGACCCCTGGACTGTCCATGCCCTTGGACTGCTAGCACAACGCTGCAATGAACCGCTCCCAGCCAGACCGGGGACCCTGGGCGAAGACCGCGCATGTGTACAGCTGCGTCCCGGGCCCTGGCTGGTTGCTTGGGCGACACGTGACGCGGAGGCAACATCACTTCGAATTGTGGGACGTGCAAAGTGTTTCTGCATGGAAGTGTCCAAAACTGGATAGCTTCAATGTTTGCTGCATCTTTGGGGTCCTTGATTTTTGGGACACGCCCATACTAATTATGTGTGTGTGTACATTTAAACATATATATATATTATATTATATATATTATATATATTATACATATTATATATATTATGTAAAGTATTTTTATTATTTATATTATATATATTATGTAAAGTATTTATATTATATATATAATATATATTATATATATATTATATATTATATATATATATTATATATATTATATATATAATATATATTATATATTATTTATATATTATATATATTATAAATTATATATATTATATATATTAAATATTATATATATATTATATTATATATATATTTTATATTATATATATTATATATATTATATATTATATATATATATTATATATATATTATATATATTATATATATTATATATATTATATATATATTAAATATATTATATATTTTATATATTATATATATTATATATAATATATATTATATATATTATATATATATTATATATTATATATTTTATATATTTTATATTTTATATATATTCTGTATATTATATATATTATATATACTATATATTATATATATTATATAAATATTATATATATTATTTATTTTAGATATAAATATTATTATATATATATATTATTATATATACATTATATAGATATTATATATACATTATTAATTTATAAACAAAATATATTATATATATATATTGATATTATATATATTATAATATATATATATTGTATTATTTTTTTTTTTTTAAATATTATATATATTATATTTATTTTAAATATATTATATATTATATATATTATATATATATTTTATTTATATTATATATATTATATATATTATATATTTTATATATTATATATTATATATATTATATATATATTATATATATTTATATATTATATATATTATATATATTATATATATTATATATATTATATATATTATATATATATATTATATATATATTATATATATTTTATATTATTTATATATTATATATAATATATATATATATATTATATATTATATATATTATATATATTTTATATATTATATATATATTATATTATATAATATATATATATTATATATACTATATATACTATATATTATATATATTTTATATATTATATATATTTTATATATTATACATATTATATATTATATATATTATATATATTATATATATTATATTATATATATTATATATATTATATATAATATATATATATTATATATATAATATTATATATATATTATGTAATATGTGTATATATGTAAATATGTATATTATATATATATATATATTGTATTATGACATATACTTTATATACGGTGTAATACAGTGTTTATAGCCTATATTGTGCCCACATGGTGTAGTGGCGGTAGACTAAGGAGGTCCACTGAGTTGATTGGAGAGATGGGGCTGGCAACGAGGAAATGCTGTAGTTTTTACCATCGACTCTTTGGTTTTCCAATGGTTTCCAGATTTTTCCAGTTTTCCTCCATTTTTTTCCTGAAAATCTTAAAGACCTCCATGAAATGCATAGATAGGAGAGTGTACACCGAACTACGTGCCAAAAAATTGTCCTGATCTCAAATTTGTTTGTTTGTTTGTTTTTTTTCCGATGTTGTCTCCAGCGTTAGTCCAGCGACGATCAATGGACGGCGCTGATGATTGATTTTATTTGCGAGCGGACCTCGCCACAATAAGTCAAAAAACTGGCTGTCCTGACAGTGCTGTATGCCATGGGGCGACGGGCGACTGACCAGAAAAAACATGTTTGGATGTTCCAACAACAAAGCGATGAGCGTTTTGAAACCCAAGTATTTCTTTTCCAATTCAAATTTCAGTGATCTGAGTGGTTGAAATGAGTTTTCGTGCAGGGCTTACTGTGAATTCAATGTCTTGTTAGCAGCGTTTGCTGCTCAAATCTCTGATTTTGTTGATTAACGAATTAACGATGATTAATGTGGGTGAAACAATGCCAGAAACCACCACTCGGAACGATTTATAGCACCTATAAAAATGGTCGTGACTGGGGGATGGTTTATGGAAAACACCCCTACCTAACCTAGCAGATCTGGACTCCCCTGCACAAATGGAGGATTCCTAAGTCATGGGGGTACCCCTAAATCGTCCATTTTTTTTTTTTTTTATAAACCATCTAGCTATTGGGGTACCACCATTTCTGGAAACCCTCAAATCTTAGGTCACACTATTAGCAGATATTTGGTTAGGTACCTACTCAACTTGGCTTCCAGATATTTTCTGAGTCTTCCCTGTGAAAGCCTAGTGGAGTCACATAACATGCTGCAGTAGTTTCTGAGCCACAGAGCTATGATTGCAGTAGCTCAAATGACCAAAGAACAATAATTTGGATTCCACCTCTTTTCTTTCCACATGATTCAGGTGATTTCTTTAACATTCAAATTTATTTCCCTTCTCAGTTACTGTAGTTTTTTTTGTTTTACCAGCCAGGCTGTGACATTTTCTTGGCTCGAGCCTTTTGTGAAAGGCACGGAACTCTTTGTGACTCATCGGCAGGTGTCCTTTTCGGGCACCAGGGCAACTTAGCTGCGATGTGGGGATGGCCGGGATCCAAAATTATCAAATGGGTTTGTTTGAACATAGGGAAATTATAATGGGTTATGGTTACGATAAGTACCATAGCTTTGCTGTGATATCTATCATAATTGTGGCTATGAGTTACAATGAGTTGATAATGGTTGAATATATTTGAATGTGATATATTGCTTTGTCTGAAAAGTGAGGGGTTTGCGATTTAAGCCCAACTTTGCGATCTTAATTGTAAAACAATCATGATAATATATGATAGTCAACCATCGGAGTTGGGGTACATTATTTTTGGACAAAACTGATGCTTCATGAAAAGAACCCATTGTGGTTATCTAATGATTCACGAATGATAGTCGATTAATGACAGTCACTTATGACTCCGAGTGTATGTGAATGCTATCTACAATCATAACTGAATGATCACTCTTAAAATATCTTAAACATATCATTAGTATCCATATATATATAGATATATATCCATATATATATATATATCCATGAATCCAATATCTTAAGAGCATTTTGCATCGATACCTTTGGCCCACTAGGCGTGAGCCCAGTGCGGGTGCCTCGAGTGCCTGGAGCCTCGAGCGCTGCTTCGCACCGGGTCGATGAGCGGCGATGCAAAACCTCTGTTGAGGCACCGGGCACCGGGCCGATGAACGGACCAACCTGGGGAAGAAATTGCCAGCGATTTCGGGTGTTTCGTCCTATAAAATCCATTTAAACTCCTATAAAATATGGGGAAAATTTGCCACTCAAACTGGGGACAGAGTTGATATATATAAATGATGGCCTTTTTTGATGGTTTTGTTGTGGTTCAACTTTTAATAAGCTACCTGGATGATTGGGATGGATTCTCCGGAGACAACTACCGCCGGACTGCGCATGGTGGTTACATCATATGGTGATTTCCCCAGTGATATGGTGATTTTATGTGGGTAAAACAAGAAGAAACCATCAATAATTAATCACTGCGCATGGTGGTTTCAAAGATTACTTTTATTTTCCATCATATGAATGGATGTCATCCTTCCCATTGACGAACTCATATTTTTCAAGATGGTTTTTCAACCACCAAGCAGTTGAAAATGATGTGAAAATTGGGATATATTGAGATAAGCAAGAATATGATGTGCACTAGAAATGGGGATAGGAGATGATAGGAGGGATCAGACAAGATACCCTGAGCGCTGTGCATACCAAGTAACTGGTCACAAGTCCACCCTGGCAAGAGGTTTATTTCCATCCACCGATCCATCCATCTGGGTGACCCTCAGTAGCATCAAGCCCTCATCTATGAATTTTCCATAGCTATATGCTATGGAAAATGGCCCTGTTACAGGTGATACAATTTTCAAATGATTATTCACCTGTTAGAAACTGTGATTTTTCATAGCTATAGCTAGGCTAAGTATTCAGAGGTTAGCATCCATCAATCCATCAAATCAAATGGAATTATAGGTAGTACATTGTAGGTATGAAAACAACACCATTGCGTGTACCTTCATTCACTTGCGTTTACCATGAAAATTCACCAAACGCATATATTCTGAATCTATGATGACTGTGATACGCAAACCTATCAAAGAATAAGTGCTATGTACATTTACCATACCGATAGATGTCGGACCTGCAACACATCTTTAAAATCATCCAATTATATATGTAATTTATATGTTCATTTACCATCAAAAACACACATACCGTCCAAATGCATCATGACTGTGATATCCAACATGTAAAAGGGCAAATGCCACGTATAAAAGAGATTGCCATGGTTTAGCCCTCAAACATCATCCCCCGAAAATGAACCAGCTATATTTCGTACTCAATATATATTTTTTATGTATATTTACAGTATCTTTATTTATATGGGTGTACCATCCAAAACCACCCAAATACTGTATACTGTATGATGGGTTTGAAATGGGTGTGTCTGAAAATGAAAATGGGTAACCCTGCAAATAGCCATATTCTAATGAGAAAATGATGCTTTACACATAGTTTTTTTCAGCGGTGCTTTATTTCAAGACAAACCCATGTTCTCGGTAAATTATAACGACCTCACTGCGTCTCTGGAATGAAACTATCCCAAAATAGCTTGATTTCAGGTCGGGCGCTGGCCGGCCAAGGGAGGATTGTGAGCCTTATTTCAGGTCAGTGAATTTATTACCATCTGGTTATTTAACATAGCCATGGAAAATCACCATTTTTAATAGGTAAGCCATCTATAAATGGACCATTTCCCATGGCTGTGTTAAATAACCAGAGGGTAACTATATAATTAACCCAGCACATTGTTGATATTTGTTGATCATGATTTTATTCAAATTGGAATGATTTCACAGGTAAAACTGCACCATGTTTGGACGAAATCTCGCCGTGATTTTTGAACCAAAACATGCACTTTTCGAAGAAATCTTACCATGCTGATAATCACCATAAACTCTAACTGTTCTAACTCAGTATAATAGACAGCAATTATTAACAGACTATCAGTCATTATTGCTATCCTGATGATTACTAGTTATATATATATAATACCAATCTGGTTAAATTCTAGTGACCTCACTGGAATCATGCTAGGGGGAATCATCCCCAAATGGCCGTAAGTTTCCGTGAAATATTTTTTATAACTTACCCAGACAGATCAGCTAGTAATTCCTGCTAAAAAAAGTGGTTCGAACAGATCTCGAGAGATCACGGGATGATAACCATACTTGATATGGATGTACCCTAATGATCGATGTTAAAATGTAGGTATCATACATGATGGTTAACCTTAGACCCTTTATTTGTCACGGGAGAATTTCCCAGGAGGCGTCATGCGGCGCAACTCTTCAAGACAGTCCGCTGGGCCCAGCGGAAGACATGGCAGAAATTGAACAAGAGAATGGACATTGAACCATGAACAATAAGGCGTTATATTAGGCTTCAACGGGATAATATATTACATATATCTATCTATCTATATATATATATATGTGACCAACTATAGTTATCTGGGTGTATCTCAAAGTGGGGGTAGAACCATCTAGTGGTGTTTCATGGGTATGTATATATATATATATAATTATACACATACGCGTGTATCACTAAGTAAATACATCAAATCAACAATAGGGGGTGCAACCAACCTAATTGATTTGGGTGTGTCTGAGAATAGAGATCCCCCAAAATTGATCAAATCTAAATAGGGAAAATGATTTGATATGATGATGAACCATGAAATTTGGGTGGTAGCCCATTTTTAGACAAACCCCCATGGGGAAATCTTCAATCTCATATGGAGTTGATTTTTTTTGGGAAGACTCGAATCTAGAGGTGAAACTCATCGGCATCAAGGGAAAATCATCTGCACATGGAACATTTGGATATTCCATTGCCGGCTTGGACTGGAAGGTAAACTGCTGTCATGGGCTACGCTGCCACTGCTGTCATTGTGGCTACTTCGGAGTTCAAAGAGACGCCGGAGTGAGTGGCCAATTTCCACCAGAGACGCTGTAGGTGTAATGATTTTCCTTGAAAAAACCCATTGGTCCAGCCATGGAGGTTTATTGACAGTCAAGGATTACCCTAATCTGCAGTAATTCTGCAACTAATGAGCTGAAATTGCCAAGCAGGTTTGATTCACAGATTTCACAGCTCATGTTTGCTGACTTGTTGCTGTCTCCGTTTCGTAGCCTGAATGGACGACAAGTCCCACCTTGTAGCGTAGATTGATGGATCCGCAGGTATCTTTTTTTTTTTGGTGTGTCTGTTTTTGTTCAGCCTAAAGGCCTAATCCCCATCTATCAAATTGTGTTTCTTTTTGCATAGGAATTTGGGTGTATGTCGATTTTGTAAAGCCCTTCTTTTCCCCAGATTTTGGTGAATGTGCTGGAGTAAAGCCATTTTTTCCACCGAGTCGTACCCCCATTAATGTTGACCCTAGAGGAGCGAAAAAGAAAGAGAGAGAGAGAGAGCTGATTGCATCTGATTGCAGCATGTTGCGACGCAGTTTTTTGTGTTTCAGGAAATTTGCAAGTTCTTCCTGGAAGGACGTTGCTTGGAGGCAGTCAGGCGGATGAGCGCAGGTGCTGACCATGAACAAAATACTAAGACCGATTCAATGCCAACTTGTGGTGCGTACGTGAAGGGTTTGGGTGGACACACTGGACATATTCTCTGGGATATCTTGGGTTCATGCTGCATCTGAGATCACGATATCTTTCATCATTGAGGCACCAAGCTATACAGGTTGTCGACATCCAGAATCAATGCGTACAGGTGCCTGGTGTGACTGTTTCAAATGTCGATAATCTATATGCGTTGGTAGTAGAACCACATTGGTACAGAAAACTATTTATGACACATGGAGACGGACCATCAAAAACACGATGCGATTGTAAGTCGCTAAAACACGAAAAACATGCTGCCCATCAGGCTTATCCCCAAATGGGGTGGGTTCTTCAACTGGGGGATCCCCAAGTCACCATGGTTGTTTCAATACCAAAATGGTTTGGGGGTACCCCCATGACTTAGAAAACCTCCAAATAATCAGGATCCAGCAGCTATTTCTGAGAAGATTTGTGTAGCAACCTTCCCAAGGTTGCGAGAGTGGTGATGCATGTTCCTATGCGCATGAGAAGAACGAGGTGCCTGACCTGGCGCTGAGCCCAACTGGTCATTGCAATACTTTACCTCGAAGGAACTTCGATTCAGCTAGGAAACATGGTGATATGAGGCGGATATACTGGGTATAACAGTATATTACTCAATAATACAACATATATCAATATATCCATTTGGGTTTGTCTTAACATGAGGGATGCTTCAATTTAAGGCCGGTTTGAAGGGGAAGAGTTTGGGACAACTTCACAGATATCTGTGATGTGTGCAGTATGACAACTAGACTGTTTATCGAAGCACCAACACTCTCTCGCATGATTTGAGGGCATTCTGTCCCCCAAGTAGATCAGGAGTTGTTTCAGCCTTGTTTCATGCTTGAAGACAGCCACATTTGGACTTTCCACCTACTATGGGTCAAGACTTATGACACGTCCAAACCTTCGCCATGCTGTTGGAATTAACCTCCAGATATACATAACAATCAGTTTGATGTATATAAACTATACAAAGAGGGTAGAAGCGTTCACGGTAGGAGGTGTCAGTACAGCCAACAAATGCTTGCTGTTTTTTCTCCGAAATTTGCCAGCTCCTGGAGATCCAACCACGGTAAACACTGCAAGGGTTGGGGTTGATCAGACTCAGGTCCACCAATCACTGTTGGACCTTGATGGGGCAAGCCATCAGGATGTGGCTTTGTCTATGGAATATCCACATAAATAGTCATTTTGATACCATGTATAGTTTATGGATGTTTATGGAATATCCACATATTATGGTAGATCCACATATCTTTTCAAGTGATGATAATCCATCGAAATTGGAGTTCGCCTACTGAAATGGCCGCCATGGGTGTTGGTTTTCTTAGTTTTCTTCGCCGCAGGTTAGAACCAAGCCAGATCTGACCAGAACAAGTATGTGTAGGACCGAAGAACGGCGGGACAAGAAAAAACTCCCAAAATACTGTCAGAGCTCTGCAGCTGACTGTTGCTCACTTTCTGGGGAAGTATCTAGGTCAATCTTAGATGGGTACTTTAATCCTTTAGTCTTTTTGTATGGGATACCCTCTGGTAATTAAACATAGCTATTGAAAATTGCCCATTTATAGTTGATTTACCTATTGAAGATGGTGATTTTCAATAGCTATGTTAGTTTACCAGAGGGTAATCTACTAACCAGCTAAGAATTTGTCATTTTTTGCAGGGTATCTAAGATTGGCACTGGTATGTCACGTACCTTTTTGAGAGGGTACTGAAGACCATACACGAAGAAGGGGTCAACATGGGTCAACCATTGGGCTTATTGTTTTGATTGAATTTGGAGAGGATTCATTGATCAACTAATCACACTAGCTCAGCTGTTGATGCGGAAAAGAACGATCCATGGATAAAACACTCTGCATTTGTCCAGGAACGGGTTATATAGTATAAACCATCCTCAATTAGAGGACCAAGCAATCGCGCCATTTCTCTTGGGGGAGTATCCCACTGTTGCTATCGGGGCATGTTCAATAAGCCCCCTAGCTCTATCGCTTGATCATCAACATGGCTGGGATGATCCTTCAAGTCAACTAAAATCAAAAACCAGTCCCTGTAGCAACTGTTTATACTTACAAATCAACCTCTAAAAGCTGGGATGGATTCCAATGGATTCCCAGTCTAAAATCCAGTTACCACTTACAGCTTGAAGTTGGCTAAGCAAGAATTTTCGTGGATCACATCCAGGAAGTTACTGACGGATGGAGCATGCAACGATAAGAGGTGTAGGTTCGCGCATTCGGAGCGGGGGGCCCAGCAGTTCCAGTGATCCATTGGTGGTTTCTGAAGTCATGGAGGATCCCCAAAACCATAGGCTGAAAGGCTCATCCGTGATGACTGGATGGTTTGGGGGTATCCACAATGACTTAGGAAACCTCCATTTGGAGATAGTTGAAAGATGTTGAAGGGTTGCAAAGCTACTTTTGAGCTTGCGTCATGTTGGTTTTAGAGTATTTGCGCACGAACATGAGAGACCGTAGTTGTAATTTGGTTGCATGGAAGGACTTTCAATGAAACTACCTTTGTTCTCAGAACAATCCGACATCCGACGTCTGAATTCATCATGAAATTAAGGACAGAGACAGCTTCAACAGCGTCCAGTGTTCGAGCAAGTTGATCATTCAATCTGGTGCTTCGGTTTACCCATTGATCCCCCTGGAATTGTTCATCAAAAACGCCATGGCAGAAGAACCAGAGACTTCCCAAACATCTAACCTGAATCAACCTTTTGTCAGCTTTCCGAGGCATGAGCTACGCGCGACCAACGGATTTTTCAAGATGAAGATGTGTTTCTTTGCACAATCCGGTGACTCTGGCATGCTGCTTCTAGTAATGACTCAAGGGATCTGATGGTCTCGGCTGGACGTTGCAATCAGTGGATTAGTTTGATCTTGTTGCGATTTTGATAGAGTCCTATTTTATCTATAAACATTTGGGTTTTTAATATGATGGTAAAGTTTTACAGTCAGATCTTGTTTACTTTTCAACGGCCGATTGAATCCCCAGAGTTTTCTGCGGCCGGTGATCTCCAAGTTTTGGCCATGCCAGGCAAATGTAAACACGGCAGCCGATGTCGTTTTGCCCATACAATGGACAGCTGGGGACTCGCTGGGTACCTTCTGGTAAACGTTTACATAGCTATGGAAAATCGCCATTTTAATAGTAGGTAAATCATCTATTATATATATATAATTTGATTCTAGCCTAATATCTGTAACAGTCAGTAAAAGGGTTTTGTTTGTGGGACCCCCTGCAAAAACATCACCCCCGAAGTGGTTTATTTTGGAATAGGCTATTCGGGTGCTTTGTGATTTGTTTGCAATGTCTTCTTCACAGTGCCTGGCCATCTTGCTCATTGCGGCCATTCTACACAATTGACAATTGACAAATTGAAGAACTGATTGTACAGGTTGCCCACTTTTTTTGAAGCACCCCAGAAATTGCACAGAACACAAAATCATTTTACAGAATAGGATATATAGAGTTTCTTGCCATGTTTTTGCAACTTTTTGTGCTCCAAATCGTGCTCCGAATGGGTCTTTTCGCGTGCAACTTTTCGTGCTCCAAATCGTGCTCCAGATGGGTCTTTTCGCGTGCAACTTTTCGTGCTCCAAATCGTGCTCCAGATGGGTCTTTTCGCGTGCAACTTTTTGTGGCCCAGATCGTGCTCCAGATGGGTCTTTTCGCGTGCAACTTTTTGTGCTCCAAATCGTGCTCCAGAAGGGTGTTTCGCGTGGAACTTTTTGTGCTCCAAATCGTGCTCCAGATGGGTGTTTTCGCGTGCAACTTTTTGTGCTCCAAATCGTGCTCCAGATGGGTCTTTTCGCGCAACTTTTTGTGGTCCAGATCCGTGCTCCAGATCGGTTTTTTCACGTGCAATTTTTTGTGCTCCATGCCATTTTTCAACTGGTCGAATTACCTCCGCCCACTTCGCGCGCGCGGAAGCCGGACTTTCTTTCAAAACCGCGTATTTTTTCGTGAATGTTTTTGTGCCATAAATCGTGTTTTTTTTCTTTCGTTTTAATTGCAAAGATGCAAGAAGGAAGAGAAAAATAGCACCCCTGAAGTGTCTTGAACTTGTGCAAAGCCAGCTGTGTGACGGGCCTTCAACTCTTCAAAAGCCGCAGCCCATTCAAGTAAGTCTTCCGTGCTCCAGATGGGTTTTGTCGCGTGCAAGTTTTTGTGGTCCAGATCGTGCTCTAGATCAGCCTTTTTTCGTGCAACTTTTTGTGCTCTAAATCGTGCTCCAGATGGGGTTCTTCGCGTGCAACTTTTTGTGCTCCAAATCGTGCTCCAGAAACGGTGTTTTCGCGTGCAACTTTTTGTGCTCCAAATCGTGCTCCAGATGGGTGTTTTCGCGTGGAACTTTTTGTGCTCCAAATCGTGCTCCAGATGGGTGTTTTCGCGTGGAACTTTTTGTGCTCCAAATCGTGCTCCAGATGGGTGTTTTCTCGTGCAACTTTTTGTGCTCCAAATCGTGCTCCAGATGGGTCTTTTCGCGTGCAACTTTTTGTGGTCCAGATTGTGCTCCAGAACGGTTTTTTGGCGTGCAACTTTTTGTGGTCCAGCAGACTGAAAAAATCGTGTGGAGATAAAATGCATGTTGTTCCCTCACTGTCATTGCTTGCAAAAGTAGTGGTTTCTCTTTGGGTGCTGCGTCATTTGGCAACTAGTTGAGCAAAACTGAAAAGTGTGCTGCACATGTTGCATTTTTATCGCTTATTTCTGCTAAATTCTTCGTGCAACTTTTTGTGGTGTAAATTGTGCTCACTGTTACAGGCAATAGGTTTGTCACAATATATAATATATAATATAATATATATATAATATAATATATATATAGGGACCATTTTCCATAGCTATGTTAGTTTACTGGAGGGTAGAATCACTAAACCGGGTATGACTACAAGACTTGCGCTGCTCCAAATATTTTCTCAGACTGAATAACTTAACTCGGTCTGCTTTTTCGAGGGCGTCAAACATCTTCTTAGAGTGTATTGGGAGCACTGGGGGCAGCTATATTATTTGAGAATACCCTCTGGTAATTTAACATAGCCATTGAAAATCACCATTTTTAATGGGAAAATCCACTATTAATGGTCATTTTCCATAGCTACGTTAAATTATTTGAGAATCATCGCCAAACAGCAGAAATGGCTTACATACACAAGACTTGGCTTATGTTTTGTTTGACCAACGCTAGCAGTAGCAGGGATTTTTTTAATGAATATGTTACCAACAGCAACGGGAATGTAGTGGGGATGTAATATACTGAATCATCAATTGTTGGCACCTGATGGCTACAGATACTAGATACCGTGCCTTTGGATGTGTAATGAAGTGGTGTGTCCCCCTCATGGTGTACCATTTGCTCAAACTTTAGGTTGGCGCACAAAAAAAACAACACATCAGCCAGGTTCAAATAGTTCAGAGATCTCTGAAACAGGCTGCAGTTCCATGTTCAACATACGTTCAACATACCCTCTGGTAATTTAACGTAGCTATGGAAAATCACCATTTTCAATGGGAAAATCCACTATAAATCACCATTTTCAATAGCTATTTTGACATAACCAGAGGGTACGTTCAACCCCCTGAACCTTGGCACTTGGTGTGATGTCAACTCCGCGAGGATGAACTGCGTCCCGCAGGTCCCCGCAAGGCGGTTCACCGGTCCCGGTGGATCGAGGGTTTTCCACCGTAGATCCTGGCAGTCGTCATGGATGGTCATGGATGACCATGGTCACTTGTATTGAAACAAAACCCTTGGGGAATCTTGGGGATAGCCATCACATTTGGATGGAAACAGAAAAATATGATGTGTTTTTTTGCCTTTGTGTTGCTGACAAAAGCTGACAAAAGATCCCAGAGCCTGGTCGGACCCCAAGAATGGTCCATTGATAATTTTGGTCCATAGCCGCTAGCATTTCTATGTGTCAATCCCAATGAATGTGTGGCTTAAGTCCCAACAGATGGTCCACACCCATTGTCTTATTTCATCTCAAAAAATCCGGATGGGTTAGATTCTTAGATATGGCACAATGCTGCCTGCTGCCAAAATCTAAGGGTTCAGATTCTTGCTTAGAATCCCATCTCCAATCAACGATGAGTTGGTGGCTTGGATTGGTAGTTATCTACTTATCCTGGTTGGTGCTTTGGAACATGGCTTTTATTTTTCCATAGAGTTGGGAATGTCATCATCCCAACTGACGAACTCCATGATTTTTCAGAGGGGTGGCGAAAAACCACCAACCAGTTATCAATGGTATGAAATCCCAGCACCAGTGGATTTCTATGTTTTTTTTATTTTTACCACCGCAGTTGGAAATCGTTGGGTTCAAAAAGGACCCGGAGCTTCCAGACGCTAAGAGTGCCCAAGAGGAGGAGCAGAGACAGGTGGGCCGGAACAAGGGGGGTTGTCTGCCGGGATTTCAAGGAGATTTCTCCAATGTTTTTAGTTTGCTTCATAAGAAACTACAGAGAATCAAGATGATATGAGCAATCACAGATAAGAATTCAGGACCTTGACTTTCAGGATTTGAGCAAGAGGCTGATGGGATCAGAAAGGGATTATGGATGCAAGCAGTAGAACTATGGAACCAGTGATAGAACTGAGACACCCCAAAATAGGAATGCACCTGACAATGGAACGTCAGCGCGTTCGGTAGATGATCCAGAAATGGTGGAGATTCCGTTGCCAAGAGAGGATGGCACAAATGAAACAGACACGCCATTTGCTTTGAGGGAGACATGGCCTAGACCTTCCAAGTACCTATAAAAATGGTGTTTACATGTGTTAAACTGTTTACCGCATAAGTAGTTCTAGTACTTTCACCACTCTTTTTTATTGGGTCTTTGGAGGCTTTTCAGCAAAACTATCTTGACCATTCTTGACCTATTTTGATCATCGGAAGACGTTCTGACTGTCTTGGGTTTAGCATGGTTTAGCCGTTTAGCCTCAATAGGTGACATGCAAAATGGATGAGTTTTGAAGTTTGCAAAATGGATCGAAACTGGCTTATAGAGTTCTAATCCCTTGAGCATCGTGGAACTAGAACTTCATCACTGGACATGTTTGGGATATTCCCAGCTATGCCCACTCTCTCGCCAGCCAAGTTTAATCGAGAAACCAGTGTCCAGGACTCGCAAATTGATTTGTACTCATTGTCTTCGCTCCCAGAGAGGCAAAAGAGTTCCCAACAGGCGCCCGATTTCTTTGGGCAGGGAACAACAACATGACCAGGTCTCAAAGAGTCTTTTTTCGTAACCATCTTAGGTATTATATTCATAGATATTGTATTTATTACTATCACACATCTATTATAGTAACCATATTTGCATATATTTGCCATATCTATAAAATTTATTGTAGTCTATATCAGTCTATTATATAGATATGGCTTCGTCTGATATGGCTTCGTCCATTGGATCCATTGGTTAACCATCATATGTCCCATTCAACTATATAATTGCCATTTTGGGCGTATATCCCATTTTCAGATAGACCCGTATATATATATAATCATAATACATATATATATATAATTACAATACATATATATATATAATTATAATATATATATATATGTCCAGACGTGACTGCAAACAATGGGATCAATCTGTCACGGAAGCCGCGCAACTTGGCATGGATTGATCCATTTCCGAGACAACAGGGTGGCATTTTGTACATGTCAATCGAATCGTCCCCATCGTCCCCAAGTCCCTAACCAAAGCAACAAAGTGAATCCAATACCTTCTGGTAATTTAACATAGCTATTGAAAATGGTCATTTATAGTTGATTTTCCCATTAAAAATGGTGATTTTCCATAGTTATGTTAGTTTACCAGAGGGTAATCAATGGTGAGGATTGTTTTATACCAACAACTGTCAGGGAAAATTTGGGGTTCTACCAGAAACAGTTTAGAATGTGGTTCACCACATTCATGCGTCCGAAAATGGAAGATATCCACTATTAATGCTATTTTGATAGGGACCGTTACGATGAACTGGTGGATTTAGGTGTGTATGAAACATATCCTATTTTTCAGAACCAATGGCGCTTTAAAAAGACATTGATTCATGTTGGGTGAAAGAGAAGTTGAATCCTCCAATTCCCCATGTGATTTTCCAAGTTCTATCCCATGAATTCTCCAACCCACAGGACCCACATCATATTGTTCCTTGATCACTGCCATCTGATGGCTTTTTTTTCAGGAGTCCCATGGCACTGGTGGCAGTACTGCAACTGGAAACGGTGGCAGTACAAGTGGAGACCTTGCGGCAGTACATGCCTGGTTGGCCCCTGCTGGTTGATATAACGGGAGAATGATATGTATATATATATATAAGTTATATAATTATATAAGTTATATATAAATTATATATATATGTTATATATGTATAATTAATCTGGTTAAATTATAGTGACCTCACTGTGACTGGAACAATGGTTGGCAAGCGGAATTATCCCAAACAAGCCTTATTTCAGGTTAGTGAAAAATTACAATTTATATACCCATAGGTAGTACTGTTGTAATAATGGGATATATTATGTTTACAACTATAAAACTTTTTTCAACTATAACAACAGTCATGACATAAGTCACCTCATGTTTGATGGTTTTAACAGGTTGTAAGTGTGAAACATCAGTAATGGGATAATCGTGGGATATAAAACTATAGAACTATAGTTGATATAGTGGGATAATGATGGGATATGATGGAATAATAATGGGATAGTGCTGGAATAATAATGGGATCATACTGAGGATTATGATAGATTTATGACATGATGAGAAGCCCGATGAACCAACCAACAGAAGGGGACATTTTAGAAGATTCTGGTCAAGACCAACATTTGGGTGATGTTCTGCTCAAAACATCCCATTTTTCGATATGTTTCGTACTTGCCAAGCTTTAACCATTCGGATGTCTGAAGAGAACATGGTCAAAATCACCACCGGTTCTTGTGGGTTTGAAATCTTCAGCGGTTCTTGGGTCTCCGTGTGCAATTTTCCGGGATACCTCAGGGGAAGTGTTCATGGGATTGGAGTGCCAGTCGTTGAGACAACAAACTTAACTTAACCGACTTAACCAAAAAAAAAGAAGATTGGAACTTCAACAAATTTGGAAATCAAACCATCGTTATAAATAGTTATTCCGGTGGGTATCCGGTGCTGGGTATCTATTGGCAAGACAAATATGATGAATAATTGCTTCACAACCAATTTGACCAGTTTGTGAGCGACCTTTAGGGGTCATTATATTATAACGCAGTACGAGGTACAATACTTACCAGTACCAGTCCCAGTTACTTTCTCGGTTACAATATTGACATTAATTACTTACCAGTACCAGATACGCAGTGGATTTATCATGATTTATCCCTCCAAGTGTGCTGCATTGCATGGCCACCCTTTCCGGAACAAAATGTAGGATCCACCTACCAGTTAGGTGGTTCGAAATAGTTTCTTGCAACCAAAGATCTTAACCTGATCCATTCTTGCCCGTGAAATCCCATTATTCTTGATGAACTCCTCATTTTTTGCTGCTCAGAGCCAGGATTTTTCTGATGAACTCCAGCATTTTCTGCCAAGGAAATGGCGGCAGCACCAGCGGCAACGCCAGTGGTCAATCCAGTAACGAGAACAGTGCCCTGGCAGTGGGTTGGGCTGTCGATCAATGGGAAATTCATGGAAATTGGTAGTGGTATGAACGATATTTTATCGGAAATGGGGTATACATGGTCGACACAATGAGGGATTTGACATGTTTTTTTTTTAATGAACACATTGTAGAAATTTGTAGAATGATTGTCCAGTCAACCAAGCATTTTATGGAGGTGCAATGGGGATATAAATGTTTATATTGGAACAGAATGTAAATATGGGAGTTTACCAACTAATGGGGATGTCTTCATGGGGGTATCTCCAATGAACATGGTGGCTGAACCAGCAACAAATGTGATCATTGATGACTAGCGGAGGCAACTGCAGTAACCATTAATCATTCATTATCACTAATAGGTAGCACATAAAATGATTAATGGTTACTGTAGTACATAATAATATGGTAACTATATGTATTATCTTGATTGCGGTAGTACATAATATTACTCGCAAACCAACCATCAAGGATGATGATTACCAGCCCTTCTCGCCACGTAAAACCGCAAGAAACAACCATTTCCGCCAAGGGGCTGCCAATGTCAGACAGTGCACTGTAACTGAAGCCCTGGGTTTGAACCACAACATGTGCAACTTGCAGAACAAGGAGATTGGACCTGCATGGCATTGATCAGTGTGTGCCCCATCCATATCCATCCTAGAACTGTTCAGCAGATCCATCTCCAGGTCAAAATGATTCCACTGTTCAATGGATCTGGCAACTGGCTACTCAAAATTTCTCAGCAGCAGATCCATCCAAGCTCCAAGCTCTGAGGTGGATCTGGCAACTCGCGTCGGGAGGCGTGACGCATCATCCATTTGAAGAAATCCCCCAAAACCACCATCAATGCGTTGTATAGACCATCCCCAATGGTTTGTGTAATATATATATATACTGTATAATTATATAGTTATATATATGTACATATATATATACATACATATATATATATATACATATATATATATCTATACATAATTACATAATTACATATACGTATCTGGCTGGTAATTTCATGCTTTTCAAGGATATTGAGATGGCTAATATTTTGTTGATAGGTTAAAACCACCTACCAGTAAAATGTTTGTGTAATGATCAGTATTAGTCGTATAGATGCAAGTTATGATTGTACAACTATTACTATCCCGAATCCCAACAGTTATGATTGCATAGGACTGTTCTATACCAGTATTTGTATAAGATCAGAAACTGATAGTTGGAATCACAAACTGTTTGTATTCGATGAATCTTCGTTGAATCCCTGGCAAATTCTTTTGGGACTCACCTGACCCCAAATCCCGAAATTGATATTGGGACAACAACGAAACCCATCGAAACTTCCTATGATTCCGACCCGAAAATCCCAAAAACATCCCCAAATTCTGGACTGGATTTAGAATGATCATGAATGATCTAGATATGGCAATGGATCAATACCTATACATACCATTTTTAGTGGGATGAACATCCATTTTAACCCAGCTATTTTGATGTGAACTACAGGGGTACCAGGGTTTTGACACACTACACTGCCAGAACCCATGGAAATCTCCAGAGCTCGGCACTTCGACAAAGGGAGACTCTCGTCCACATCGTGGACGTGCAGCCATGCAAGCAAGGATGAGGTGCGCGCTGGCCGGGCGCACTCCGAACTAAGGGGCTTGGAGAATCAGGGGATTCTTATGGATTCGTCATGTGTAAAGCCAACAAAAATTGCATTGAATGGGATTTATATCTATGTCATAGTATGTCATAGTAATATAGTACGTAGAACCATTTTCATGTGATTTGGCTTGGTTTAAGCAACTAATAAATGTTGGTAGCAACAATGGAGATATATCAGATATAGGGGATCTATAACCCACCACCGGGGATCATGGGGAACCAATCGGCCATAAATAGGGATCGGATTACTAGGCACGAACATATGAGCAACAACAGGAACAAAAACACTTGTAAACAGAAAACATGAATTCAGCAACAAAATGTGGATTTAACCATTGTTAGATGATATGTATATATATAATATAGCCAAGGTAAAGCCGTATGATGTTAACCTATCAGTGAATATGTGATGCAATTAATATCCCACTAACAACAAGCCCTTGTGAGGGGCATCTCATGGTATGGCGATAAGCAGACCGATTGGTTTCGAGTACGTTCTGCCAGAGACATGATCTCAGCTTAAAGTGTCATTTGGTTGTTAACATCCATGATTTCTCGAGAAGATCCTGCAGTTGGTTGATAATGTTTGTCGGATTACCATACCATATCTCATGATATCTCATCACATCTCATCATATCTGATCACATCTCATCACATCTCATCATATCTCATCACAGCTCATCATATCTCATCACAGCTCATCATATCTCATCATATATCATCGTATTTAATCACATCTCATCATATCTCAACACATCTCTTCACATCTCAACACATCTCTTCACATCTCATCACATCTCATCACATCTCATCACATCTCATCATATCTCATCACATCTCATCACATCTCATCATATATCATCAGATCTCATCACATCTCATCATTTCTCATCACATCTCATCACATCTCATCATATCACATCACATCTCATCACATCTCATCACATCTCATCATATCCCATCACATCTCATCACATCACATCTCATCACATCTCATCGTATCTCATCACATCTCATCACATCTCATCGCATCTCATCATATCTCATCCTACGGTATCTCATCAGATCTCCATGTTCAACTTCGATGATTCCTTTGTTTTTCGCGTTTTTTTTTTGTGGTCTTCGAAGTGGAAAGCCCACCAGGACAACACAGAACATGGCGGAGGAATCGAGCTCCTCTTCTGGCAACACCTCCTTGACTCTGGTACCAAGGCGGACCCTGCCGCAGGGCCGGGCTGGCGAGATAAAGCCATCCATGTGGAATCCAATGATAAAGCAATGTTCGCTTCAACCCTGACGTTGCTCCGCGTCTGACTTCAGGTGGCTATGAAGATAAAGATGATGTTATTACCCCAATCAACATATTGCTCATAGGGGGTGGCGAAATTTGATCCCTCATGAAGATAAAGTTGATGTTATTACTCCAACCAACATATTGCTCATAGGGGTTGGCGAAATTGGATCCCTCATGGAGATATAGTTGATGTTATTACCCCAACCAACATACTGTTCACAGGGGGTGGCGAATTTTGATCCCTTATGAAGATAAAGTTGATGTTATTAACCCAATCAACATATTGCTCATAGGGGGAGGCGAATTTTGATCCCTCATGAAGATAAAGTTGATGTTATTACTCCAACCAACATATTGCTCATAGGGGTTGGCGAAATTGGATCCCTCATGGAGATATAGTTGATGTTATTACCCCAACCAACATACTGTTCACAGGGGGTGGCGAATTTTGATCCCTTATGAAGATAAAGATGATGTTATTACCCCAATCAACATATTGCTCATAGGGGGTGGCGAATTTGATCCCTCATGAAGATAAAGTTGATGTTATTACTCCAACCAACATATTGCTCATAGGGGTTGGCGCGAATTTTGATCCCTCATGGCGAATTTTGATCCCTTATGAAGATAAAGTTGATGTTATTAACCCAATCAACATATTGCTCATAGGGGGAGGCGAATTTTGATCCCTCATGAAGATAAAGTTGATGTTATTACTCCAACCAACATATTGCTCATAGGGGTTGGCGAAATTGGATCCCTCATGGAGATATAGTTGATGTTATTACCCCAACCAACATACTGTTCACAGGGGGTGGCGAATTTTGATCCCTTATGAAGATAAAGATGATGTTATTAACCCAATCAACATATTGCTCATAGGGGGAGGCGAATTTTGATCCCTCATGAAGATAAAGTTGATGTTATTACCCCAACCAACATACTGTTCACAGGGGGTGGCGAATTTTGATCCCTTATGAAGATAAAGATGATGTTATTAACCCAATCAACATATTGCTCATAGGGGGAGGCGAATTTTGATCCCTCATGAAGATAAAGTTGATGTTATTACCCCAACCAACATATTGCTCATAGGGGGTGGCGAAATTTGATCCCTCATGAAGATAAAGTTGATGTTATTACTCCAACCAACATATTGCTCATAGGGGTTGGCGAAATTGGATCCCTCATGGAGATATAGTTGATGTTATTACCCCAATCAACATATGGGTCATAGGGGGTGGCGAAATTTGATCCCTCATGGAGATATAGTTGATGTTATTACACCAATCAACATATCGTTCAGAGGGGGTGGCGAATTTTGACCCCTCATGAAGATAAAGATGATGGTTATGATGATGGTGATGAGGATGGTGATGATGATGATGATGATGATGATGATGACGACGACCATGACGAGTGTAAGTGTGGAGCAACGTCCGGGTTGGGGCGAACATGTTTAAACCCAAAGAACATTATAAATCCAATGGTTTTAAGATATTGGGTTGAAAGAAAAGGAATGGATGGTTTAACCGGGGATGGTGAAGCACATGATCGATCATATTTACTGATTTAGCTCAATAGTTGGGACCCCAAGTAATGAATAGATCCAATCTGAAATCACAGATCTTAGGATGGTATTGCATAGGAAAGGGGAAAGGGATTAGCTAGGCAGACTTCGTCTGATTAAGCCGATTAAGCGTGAATACATTGATTGAACTCTGTTCCTATGAGGCAGTGTATCTTTGGAAGCACAGTTTTGTTCCACGTTTCTCTTTACGTGGAAAACACGTCATTGAGTTGACCCATATCTGCCCATCATCCTCTCATCCCATATTTTTGCGGCCCTCAACTGGAGAAATGAGAAATCCCAACAGGAAGCGTCCCCCCAATTGTAAGTTGTTGCTATATCTTCATCCAACCGTAGTACGTATATCATGATATTCCTGAAATTCCTGAAATGACCCGTACTTGGAGGATCATTCCACTTCGTAAGTGGCGAATAGTCCTCGTGTTTTCCTCTAAGTGGCCCCCCAAACACCACCGCCGGATGATTCTGAAAGCTGCCGTCCCAGGAGCGAGCATACTGGCTCAACACCTGCGAGCGACAGTAGCAGCTCAGGTGTTTTTTTTTCAGCCAACATGGGGAGATTTTTGAGCAGTTTATTTTAGGGCAAACAGCAACAACTGGCAAAGGTAGATTATGGTAGATTGAAAAAAACAACAGACTTGCCATTGAGGTGAAAAATTGAAGGTCCAATGATGTCCAATGCAACGATGTTTGTCAATTGTGAGGCTTTTCTGGGCGGCAAGTTCAATATTGATAACCATACAGGGATTTTCTGGAGTATAGTTTAGAATCAACCAACAAAAAGACGAAGCAAAAGAATTGCGTCCACGGGGATCGTCATCAATCCATTTCTTGGAATTATAAGGTTTCCCATGGCCATGGGATGGATGACCATAACCCATGTAATAAATGCATCGAAACCATGGCACATGTAGGTCCGTTTGGTGTGTCCGAAAATCGGCTATACTGTATAAATATCCCCAATTCAATGGGTATTTGTTGGTAGGACACTTATGGGGAAATTGTCTTTTTTTTCCAGCTGAAGTTGATGGTAACCTTCAAACGAACCCCAAATCATCTTATAAGGTGATAGATACTGTATCCCATGGAAAATCCCCATGAAGTTTCATTGAATTCCATTGAATTTCTATGTTCCCTACGGTTGATACTAAAATTCCCCAGGTTTTCGCACCCGGAAAAGCCTGCACCAGGTGCCGTTGGAAACGGCGACGATGCTGTTGAAGTGCCTCGGTGGACATAGAGAAGATATGGGTCTGAAAATGGGATAATGGCAGTAATGGCTATATTTAATGGGGAATTATTGGGATCTCATGGGAATTTCCTAAATTGGATTTGCTGGGAATTTAATGGGATTTCATATATGTAAATAAATAAATATATATATATAGAATTATATATATATTTATAGAGCCAATTATAGTTAATTGGGTCTGTGTGAATTTTGGGGGATTAACACTGTAGAAATTGCCGGATGCAAACGACAATTAACCAGTGAATTTAGGGGTAGACTATTTCAGTCAAACCCATAAGTAAAATGGAGGTCTTTTTGTACTATAAATAGCCAATGAATTGCTATTCTATGTCTAGAATGTGGGTCAGGATCTCTTGTCAGGGCCAGTCAGATCCATTGTATCATATTGTATAATACTTTCTTGGACAGTCAATGAGGGAACCGCAGCCACACAGGTTTGGGTGTTTATAGACGTAAACCATTCGCTATGTACCAGAGTTTGCACCATTCGACTCGTAGAAAAACACGGTCGCCAGTCATGTCCAGTCATGGCCAATGTAGTTATACCATGTTATACCCATATTTATACCCATATGGGGATGGGTCAAAACCCTGGTACCTAGTGAACCCCAAAATAGCTGGGATTTATGGATGTTCATCCCACTAAAAATGTATCTATAGGTATTGACCCATACCCATATTTAAACCTTATGTGTCAGCTCCATGGCTGGAGAAATCACCTGGAAACCTCCATGGAAAATCGGGAATTTTCCAGCCGTGGCCAAGGCTGATGGCTCTGCGGCAGGCTGGAGGGCTCTCATGACAAACGTAGGGTACCCAGAAATTGAGGGTGAACAAAACCATGGTCAAACGGAAATGCCAAGACTTGCGGTCAGGCAGCATCAAGTTTGCTGCACCAAATTGCTGAGTTTCGATCTCCGGAACCTCTTAGACTATGCACAAGTCCTCTTTATCAGAACGGTTGATCATGAGAAGCGAGCAGCAGCGAGAAATCTGCTGAGATGACAACAATGGTTAAGCAAGAGTGGTGTTTTGAAGTGTGATTTCGGTATACGGTTGTTTATGTTGTTTAAAGTTTGGTTTATGTGTAAAAACAAAAAAACAATGACTACTGGGTGGTGAGAGCTGCATTTAAAGTGAATGACTGCCTAATAAGTGTGGTGGAATCATCTCCTATAAACATGTGACCGAACTGTTTTTTTGCCTGAAATTAGATACCTCACCTTTTTACTGCTTAATCCATACTATAAAAAATTGACGTGTGTGTGTGTGTGTGTACCCCATTTTGAATATGCTGCAAAAAGATGGAGGGCAGATGGTGAATTATCAAGGCTCCGAAACTCCGTGATTCTCATTGGTGTCATTTCTCCCTTCAAAGTACCCGAGATACAGACGGATAAATATATCATCATCATCATCATCATCGTCATCATCATCATCATCATCATCATCCTCATCCTCATCCTCATCATAATCATATATAGTATATGAGTATATGAGTATATGCGTATATGAGATATATCACTATATACATAGCATGACTCATCTCTCTCTCTCTCACATCTCCTCATGATGAGATTCTGCAGAACAACGTCTACAGTCTTGGAATTGTCCATTGAAATGTTTGATTGCCAGCGGGAAAGGGACATTCACAGCAAGTGTCCCCGGGTCCCCGAGCTACATTGAGGCTACATAAAGGGGTTCCTGGAAGAGTTTCCTTGAAGCAACCAACCAATAAACGGCAGGATCCCTAAAACTTTGCTTGTGTACAACTTGTGGGGTGACATTCATTCCATCCGTGCATGATCATAACATATCATAACCACCTTCCCGATATGTCGCAAGACACTGTATAAATTTAAATCACTAAACCCTGGCTTCTTCCTTTTGAACATGTCTATTCAAAGTTCAATCACCACAGCTCAAATCCCTCATTTATTAGCCCCATGTTCATCCATGTTCCATCCTACCTGGATGACTGTGTGGTGTGTTTGTTGTTTTTCAGGCTGGCTAAACCACTTCAATGAGTTCCCTAGCGATATTCCCTTCAGACTTTCCTCTTCCATGGTCTTGGATCCAGGAGCACCAGAACAAAAAAACAAGACACGACGTTCTCAAAGACGCAGGAGGGCGGAGACTTCATGCCATAGATGATGGTTCGCCTATTGTTGTTTTTATATGTTTTTAACCCTTAAATTTAACCTGGACCTAGAACCCAAATCTGTACCCAATAAGAATATCAACTTTTTGGGGGGTCCATGTTTAAGGGATGGGTGGGACATGGTCGGCTGGAACATATATGAACATAATATGGTATAATCATCGAACTAAATGAGTGATTTTCCAGGAAACCTGGTTCAAATATTGCAGGATATATTGTTGGGGGAACATGGGGGAACATTCCATTTCATGGCTTAGGTTTGATTTCTTTCTCTTTTGTGAAGTAAGTATTGATACTGTATTAAAATTGCTCAGGTCCCATTCATTCTCAAGGATTTTCAGCGAACATGGCCAGTTGGATTATCATCATTTCGATTCTTTAAGATCAATAAGCATGATCTTTATTTTTGAAGGGTTTTTTCCGAATCATAACCTTTTATTTTAAAGGATGGTTCATTATCAGATGTACTCAGGCGTGGTGGGCCTTACTGACCGTTGCTTGGCTGGAGGACCTCGTCTTTGGGTGAAAGCGATGGAGAGTCCAAGAACCAGGGCGAGGTCGGGGTAAACTTACCCGGCGCCATGAACGGTACAAAATTTTGGGGATGGCTAGTTTCCTTACCACCCATCAAACATGGTAATATGATGTAATATGATGTAATATGATGTAATATGTGGGATGTTTTACTAAGTTGGGTGGAACCCACAGTCACAGAACAAGTCGTCGAGACGCTTACAATTCTGTCCTTTCCCCTGTAAAAAATGCAGAATTTTGGAATGATTCCAACAAAGGTGATGAGACGAGTGAGAAAATTTGAATGATTGGTGGTTTCAGATACTTATTTATAGATGATTTTCCCATATTTTCCCATTGCCACGTTTGATTTCCGGAGAGGGCATTTGATGTTTTTAACCATAGAAATCATAGATGAAACGGGATGATACCCGACTTTCCAGCCTTATTTTTGGGAGGTCACATTGATCGTCAGCAATCTGCCTGTGTACCTGACGCGAGGTGCTTTTTTTTGTGATCCGTTTGGTGGAGAACATAATGAGAAGTGGTTGAATAAGACATGGGGGGTTCCAATTGATGGGGGTACCCTCTGGTTATGTCAAAATAGCTATTGAAAATGGCCATGTATAGTGGATTTTCCCATGAAAAATGGTGATTTTCCATAGCTATGTTAAATTACCAGAGGGTACCCCAATAGCTAGAAGCAGCTAGATGGTTTATTTCATGGAGAATCAATCTATAAATAGATGATTTGGGGGTAGCCCTATATAGGAAACCACTACATAGCTTAGCAATCCCTAGGGATCCCACATAGAAAAAGATGCGGAAAAGCCATGGGTTTTTTACGCAAAAAAAAGATCTACTTCCATTGTTTCCCACATCTGTGTTAAGAGGAGGGTAATCTACGATGGCTATGTGCGTGGGAACGTATGTTACTTGTCATGAACAGTTAGTTGGAACTGTCAATGAGAATTTGTTTAAACATGCTAGTTAAGTGCATTTATATATATGATTATATATGGTTTTATGGGAAAATAGTCCACACATGGACATACATGATGAATTTCCAAGAGCGTGTACAACCATACAAATATATACAAAGGGTTTTCTGTAATTGCCAAACACGGAGAGATTTGCCACATATATGATATTTGCACCAGTTTTAGAGTTGTAGGATATGAGTTGATATATGTTGATATACGTATATATATATATATATATATATATGGTTAGCCAGACAGACTGGTCTGGGGAATTCTGACAGAATCCAATGTGGGACCCGAGGCAAAACAGTAGGTTTCGGGATGACAGAGAATTTTGGGAAATGAATGAGATTTAAGAGGGGGCCCCAAGCAGATTGGTATCATGATGGTTTCTTCCAATGTTTTTAAGGAATAAACTTCCCCTGTGAGTCGGTGAGGGCATCCTGGATTGCAAACAAATGGTGTGAGCTTCAGGTATGTTCTATTGAGGAGCACTCACACTATCTAAATCTATCTCACACTTTCACCAGGGGAGCTTACTCAATCTCGTCAGCAGTAGTTGTTTTGAAGCTGGTACTGGAACACCAGTTTGGCGATTGGCAAATCCTAGGTCCCTATCTCAAGGTACCAGTAGTACCCTCCGGTGATTTAACATAGCCATGGCAATTCACCATTTTTTGTAGGTAAAAGATCTATATAGTCTATAACTGAACAATTTTCAATAGCTATGGTTGGATAATTATTCGAGGGTATCATCATATTTTAGTTGCATAAATCATGTTTACTCCCATGAAACTTCATTCATAAACCAGCATTAGACGTTTGCTTCGCCGAGAAACGTCTCGGCTGGTCAACAATGGACTCGTCCCGCTAGTCTCGTCCCACTAGGTGAAATAACAAGCCAATTCAAACAGATTACAAGACCTCATAATTTTTTGATACCCATCCATAATATTCCATGATATTCCATGATATTCCATAATATTCCATGATATTCCATGATCATCCATTATCATCTATCATCACGATCACGAAGGGTCAATCTTGGATGGGTAAAAACTAATCCTTTAGTCTTTGACGGTATTAATTGGATTATCTACGTTCACCAGCTAAGAATTTGTTTTTTGCAGGGTATGTAAGATTGGCACTGTAAGAGGATCCTTGAAGAATCCTTGCTGTTATTTGTATTGGTGTTATAGTTAGGCCACCATTCAAAGATGGATGTTCTAGATAAAATAGGCTAATCAAACGTGGCAAGCTGTAAAATCCCCGAACAAACTGAGTTGTCTGGGAAAATCATCGAACTCCTGTCGAATTTCCCTGGGTTTCCCCATTCCAGGGCCCTGCACAAGCGCGAAAAAAACCCTCATTTCAGGTGCTTTGTTGTCGATGTTCGAGGCGGGGAACATGCCGTTTTTGAAACGGTGGCAATGGCCGTGTCCCAAGGGGGTCATGAAGATCACGTTATTTGTGTGTTTTTTTTGAATAGGGGATATCCCCCAAGCATTTTCAGGGACATGATGAACCATAGGATGCCATAGGATTTGGGGAGTAGCCAATTTTCAGACCCAGATCATTGCCAGATCATCCCATTATATAATTAGAACATTGTAGAACTGGTTCATTTCGTATGAACAAATCACCAAGCTACAAGCTGAGATGCACATCCAGGTCATCTTATATAATCTTATATATAGATATGGGTATCCATATAAATGGATATGTATATATATAATACATACATACATATATATATATACATATATATATATATATGGTCCCGTCCTCCGTCTCTCCACCCCCCCCCCATGGGTTGGGTCCCCAGGTAGTAGCCCCAATTCCCTTCTATTTGCAAGCTATTGGCAGCATTTCTGAGGTCCAGCGTCGTATTTGCTAGGTCTTTGCAGCATTTCTGACTACCAGCCTCGCATTTACTAGGTACATGCTACCTTTTAGGCGACCTACCATGCACACATACTCCTTCAAAGTACCTACGTGCTACCTATAGTCATACATACATGTGCTATGTATCTACTGTATCTACTTCCTGTTTACTACCTGTGTACTCTGACAACACTACCTCTGTTGAACATATACCGTACCTACCATACATGTCAATGATGCCATGCATACCATACCTATCATATCTATCATACATACCATACATACCATACATATGAAATGTAATTACCACACCTACCATACATACAATAGCATACATACAATAGCAAGCATACATGCCATACATACCATACCTACCTTAGATAGGACATATTCCATACCCATCATAGTAACCATACATACCATACAGACCATACATACTGTCATATCAAACATACCATATCCAACAGACTTACATACCATACCTCCCATCCATACAATACCAACCACTCATGCCATACATACCATACCTACCATACATACCAAACATACCATACTTTCCAAACATGCCATACCAGACCGACCATACACACCATACATACCCACCATACCATACCACACCCCCACCACACCACAGGGGGGGGAGGGGGACAGTGCCACACCCCCACCACACCACAGGGGGGGGAGGGGGAAGATCTCATATGGGACCAGTATATGGGACCCATCCACCACACCACAGGGGGGGGAGGGGGACAGTGCCACACCCCCACCACACCACAGGGGGGGGAGGGGGAAGATCTCATATGGGACCAGTATATGGGACCCATCCACCACACCACAGGGGGGGGAGGGGGACAGTGCCACACCCCCACCACACCACAGGGGGGGAGGGGGGGAAGATCTCATATGGGACCAGTATATGGGACCCATCCCATATGGGGGGGGGGAGGGGGGGGGTGGCAGGGCCTGGTGCATATATATATATATATATACATATATATACATATATATACGTACATATATATATATACATATACACATATGTGTATATATATATATATTATATTATACATACATAATATGATATAGGTATCCCCACTTTTTCTCGCTTCAGCCGCTTCGCCAGCAGGATTTGACTGCGACCATGCGAGGAAAGTTCGACTTCTTCTACAGCCCATGGGATCTCAAGGCTGAGATTGGGCCCAGAAAGCAAAAACGAAGAGGAATTAGATACCCTCTGGGAGACTAGCACAGCTATGGAAAATCACAGTTAAAATAGGTAAATGAACTACCAATTTCGCTATTTTCAATAGCTACGTTAAATTACCAGAGGGTAACCAGAAGACATTATTGTAATCTAATGGGATTTGGATTTATAGGAAATGTTAATAGGATTTTTTCATGGCACATCAATATAATATAACCAACTATCATTACATATATTATTATTTATTAGTATTTACCCAAAGATGATCAAACTGGTTCAATCGCACCATCTCGTAGCTATTGATTTTGGCGTGTCGAAGATTGTCCAACAGAAATGGGGAAACTCTTACTGAGTGCTTGGGAAAAGGGGTGATCTCAACAACTGATATATACATAAAATCACCCTGAGGTAGATAAAATGTGGAATTTTCGAAATGATTGCTGTAATCTTCCACTAAAAGAGATAAGGGGTATCTATGTTGGGTGCAACAAAAACAATGAGATCCTCCCGGGCTTCACAGGGACGGGTGCAAAAGGCGTCCTCTTGAAGAGTTTGAACGCAGAATTCTATGGAGATTCAGGACCTCTTTTGCCCTTAGAATCGTGCTTCCAAACATGGGGTTTTATATGGTTTTATATGGTTTGAATGGCTTTCTATGGAATAAACCAGGTTTGATATGGTTTTTAAATGCTTATCTCAGGATATCCAGCGCCAGGCTGGACACAGCTTGGGCTATGCCATCATCAACTTTACAGCAGGGCAGCACAGTGGGCTGCGACAGTGGGACTTGGGGACCCGACCCATGGGGGTTCCCTGGAAAAGCGGAGATGGATGGACTGGATGGATGGATAGACTGGATAGATATGGCTTTGTTTTAAAAGAGGGGATACCCCTAGAATCCCCAAATGGCCAGTTTACATGAGGAACAGCATGACTGATAGATGATCCGGGAATCCGGGGTACATCTTGCAGATTTGACCATTCATCATCTAACGTTCCTATGGAAATTCGCAGTTTTTTTCACGAGGGAAAGCATCGGAATTCATCATAATCTTCACCATCATAAGGGATCACACAAATCCACCAGCCCCTTTGACAAATATGCTGAATCTGACAATGGCATCAACATATCTTCATAAGGCATGATGATGATGATGATGATGATCATCATCATCATCATGGATCACATTTACATCTACATATTGAAAGTCTACCGACATGGCATTTCAAAAAGACGCAACCCTGCCGCAATTTCGGCGCGGAGCAACGTCAGGGTTGCACCGAACATCTTCTATACATGAAGGTTTTAATGGGAAATTCATCTATAAACTGTGTATATATATATGTAATCTATAAACGTGTGAATTTCCATTGCAACGTTTGACTACCGGAGGGTACTATGTCCCGAATTCCAAGGTCTCTGGATCTTCCCATCTTTGTTGGGTTCAATTTGGTCAAATACTGTTGACACATCCATATATATATGTATATATCCCATATTTTTAACGCAATTGACGTGATCCTGAATTGTCCTTCACAGGCTGGCCATATGGATATGCGGCCAAGGCATTCTTGGTACTAAAACATCATAAACACACCATCCATTCTGGGGGAATCAGAGAATTAGAACGACCCCACTGCGACGTCATGGAATGATGATTAGCATTGGGATAACTCAAAAATAGAAACTTTTTCAGGTTCGTTAATTATTGTAATTTGTCAAAATACAAATCCAGATCCATTTATTGGAACATCTATATATGGAATAGTGATTCTCGTCATCCCTTCTGAACCAACCAGTAGACTCTGTAGTTCATGGAATGACATCGCGCACTTTGGACACTGCTTATTTCTTTGGGGTAAATACAAAGGACCCCAGTTGTGTTAGTTGATTTTTAAACACCATTAGAATATCCAATCATTAGCTATAGTCAGTTCGCTACCAGCCGCTACCATAAACATCCATAAACTACGGCTATGTAGGTGTAAATCGTCGGAGGATCCCACTTGGTAAGTGGTGAATAACCCTGGTTAGTGCGTCCCTGCTTCATGGGATATGCCGTTATGTAATTGTATGGGTGGACTGACCCCAGTTACTAAGCACTTACGATCCGCAGGGTGATCCTCCAATAACTATGTTTGTTGGTGTGAAAAACAGTAAAGAAAGATTAAAACACCATTAATAGTTGTTAACTATCTAGTCTATCAGCATATTGTCAATGCTTAAGACGGTTAAGATGATGTTAACCATTAATGATCCATAAACATCCACTAACATCCACTGAATGCTACTTAAAACCATCAACTAAAGTTAACCATAGATGGTTAGTCCATCCCCCCCAAAAAATATTGTTTTTTCGGCCTCAAAAAACTTCTGAGGATTCCAGGCAAGCAGCCAAGTTCGACCAGCAATGGACTGACAAGGCGCAGAACGACAGCGGATATGTCATCTCCAGATACTGGAAATATCTTGTTTAACGAGGTTCAAAATCCCAAAACAATCGGACATGTTATGACATTTTGACCAACCCCTGAGGTGGATTTTTAGATGATAACGTACGAAAACCTACTAGAAGCTATCTGTTTCGGGTTGTTGTTTCTATGAATATGTGGTATATGTACAAACATGACTGGATGACTTTTAAAGGTAAATGTGTTGGGCCATAGAAAGATGACTGTGGATTACCTGGGATAATATGTTGGAACCTTCTGAGCTGCCGCGTGGCTAAAGTTGATTTGGCTTTTGGATGCTGTCTGTGATTCAAAGAAATGATGGTTTGTTTGGAGCTACAAATTCAAACATGTTTTAAAGACATAATTATTGGCTGTTTGCACTGTCTTTTCTTGTAGTCTGGCACAAGAAAGGGTACTGTACGACGGGCATTCGCCGACAATAATATGTGAACAAGGAGAACCCTTATTTTAATGCAACTAGAAGATGCTTCAGATACCGAAGTTTGTAGGACTAACCACGTTTGAAGGCCTTGGGATCTGGATATGTAACCTCTTTTGTCGAGCCGCGTTGACGAAGCATCAGCAGTTGGAAGATCACCTTTACTATCAGCATACATATATATGTATACACACACTATATGCAATATATTATATCTATGTCTGTACCTAGACTCCCAAGACCCCACACAAATGGTAAAAGTACTAAAACTTATGGGGTAGAACACCATTTTCATCGGTACTTGGAGGGTCTAGGTCATACCAGTAGTACCGCACAAGGCGGTGGCGGAAGTTTCAAAGATGAGAAACTATAGGAGAGGTGAGTTGTTGTGATGTGTGGATGGCAGAGCGTATACACTGATGGACCAAAAGGTGGTTGGCAGTGGTCACCTCAACTACAACTTCTGGATGTAGTATGGTGTGGTGTAGTGTAATGTAGTTGTAGTTGTAATGTAGTGGAAGTGGAAGTGGAAGTGGAAGTGTAGTGTGGTGCAGCGGAGTGTAGTGTAGTGGAGTTGCAGTTGCAGTTGTAGTTGCAGATTGTAGTGTAGTGTAGTGTAGTGTGGTGCAGTGGAGTGTAGTGTAGTGTAGTGTAGTTGTAGCTGTAGCTGTAGCTGTAGCTGTTGTTGTCCTTGGCGTCGGCGTCGGCGTCGTCGTCGTGGTGGTGGTGGTGGTTGTTGTTGTTGTTGTTGTCGTGGTTGTGGTTGTGGTTGTAGTTGTGGTTGTTGTCGTCGTCGTTGTTGTTGTTGTTGTCGTCGTCGTCGTTGTTGTTGTTGATGTTATTTGTAGTCGTACTAGTAGTTGTAGTTTGTAGCTGTAGTTGTAGTTCCAGTTGCAGTTGTAGTTGCAGTGCAGTGGTAGTGGTACTGTAGTGGTAGTGTGGTGTGGTTTAGTGGAGTGTAGCTGTAGCTGTAGCTGCTGTACTGTAGCTGCTGTAGCTGTAGCTGTAGGTGTTGTAGTTGTAGTAGTAGTCGTCATAGTAGTAGTTGTAGTAGTAGTAGTAGTAGCTGTTGTTGTTGTTGTTGCTGTTGGCGTTGTTGGCGTTGTTGGCGTTGTTGGTGTTGTTGGTGTTGTTTGTGTTGTTGGTGTTGTTGTTGTTGTTGTTGTTCTTGTGGCAGTTGTTGTTGTTGTTTCGGCAGTTGTAGCTGTTGTGGTAGTTGTAGTTGTAGTTGTAGTTGTGCATGCAAGTTTTGGACATCTCAACTGGCAAGAGTGCTCCGCATGAGGTGTTTTGTAGGTTTTGACTTGGAAAGGCGCTTCACGCCACAACGGCGTGCACTTTTTCCACACCCCCATTGCGAAAATTGCTCCAGACGTGAAGTGTTTTTAGCCTTCGAAATCTGCTTCGCCACAACGGCGTGCAATTTTTATCAATTTTTCATCTCTCATCTGACCACATGGCTCTGCACCCGCCGCTTTAGCGAGCCTACTTTTCGAGCCTCCGGATCTGCAAATCATTGGAAAAACACAGTGAATCGCGACTTTCTACCTTTTCGCGCGCCTGCATCTTCTTTCTACTGACTCTTTCTCTTTTGACTCTTTCTCCTCTTTGAATCTTCCTTTGCTTTACCATCTGTGCATATTGTCGGAAGTTTGACTTCTAAACTTCCCTCGATGATGGTTGTAACAGCTACCTACCAGCTGGGATGCACCGTGCAGAACCTCTTGCGAAAGAAGCATCCGCCTTTGAAAGTGAGGAAGGCAAGGGCCCTGCGGAACCATGGGGCGGGACACCATGATCTCGACGTTTTCACATTTCGATGTCACCATTCAGATTGGTGGGGTTAGTGGTTAGCCCTGCGACCCACCAGGAGTGGATGCTAGTGGGGTCATTCAGCAAGCTGATAGCCTGAATTGAAGTTTTCCTTTCCATCGCTGGCAGCATAACATAGTATCACCCCACACCAACGAGCATCTTGTTATAGGTGCCTCAATCACCAGGTGTGTAGGTTCCAAGCCAGCTGTAGCCTTAGAATTTTAGGGAAAAACTTGCAGCAAACCCTTGAATTCTCTTGAATTCATGTAGACGAAGTGGGCTGCCATTTGCCCATCAACAATTCTGGTGCTAGGCCGGTTTGGCGAGGCATTAGTTATCTCGGAAACAGTACATGTTACCATGATTCGTGGAATACGTGGATGTTTCTTTACCCAATGAAGATTCGACCCCTCATCCTTTCACATCCATGGGTCCAAAAACCATCCCATTTTGGTGTTTTGAAGGGCGTTGTCACATGTTGTCACCTTGTCCCAGGCATCCATTCAGGGGCTTACAGCGAACATCGAATACTTCAGCAAGAATTTGAGTTGCCCGGTCCGCCCCCCCAGTCCGAACTGCAGGGCGGCTTGAGAAATCAATGTGGGCACCATGAGAACTCGTTCCTGCAGTGGTGGTTGCAACTTAGTGTTTTTTTAACGTTTTTTTGTGGGTCAAAAATGAGATGATTCACCGTCTCTTTCGAGTTGAACAAGTAGATGTTCAGAGATTTGAGAATAATTGGGACAATATTGGGACCATGTGAACAGTTACGTGAACATATTTTGATGGAACGTGGTCTTGAAAACGATCAGCGATTGGGCACCCATCTCTGTCCGAAAATGGGCCATTGCAGAGTCCGAGTTCCCAAAGTTTGCGGATACAACACTTGTTGGTTCTCCCTAGCAGCCGGACTGGTCAAGTAGGTCCAACACCACCTGGTACGTCTTTCGCCCAGATTTTAAGGCGGAGTTACCCTATGTCCCTATGTAGTTCTCTCCGTTTTACTTTGGGTGTCCAACCTCCCTATAAATCTATCTAGAGAGTTCAGCTATACACTCGTAGTTACTCGTTTCAGGGCTGTATCATGGTTACCAGAGTTCTCGATCGTGGCTGCTGAATCATGTTCCTGTCGTCGTTACCTTTCTTGGCCTCCTAACAATGACAACAGCATATAACAACTATAGTTGCATAATGTTGCATACTTTTGGACCTCAAAAAACCAAATAACATGAAATAACCCAATCATTTTCCTTTCGACCCGAGATCTCATCGCGTTTCATCGCGTTTCAGGATTCGCGTTTTGTCCCACTTTATCGCGATTCCGAAGGTTGGTCCCCGCTGGGGGACCCTTTTGTGCCACTTCAAGGTCTGATAAATTTAGAGTATACGTTGAAGTTGGAAGTCGTAGTGTCATGACACTGAGTGCCATTATGTACCATATTAATCCATATTATCATATATTATAATTACTTTCGAAAGATTTCGAAAGGACTCAACTTGCTATGTTGCATGATGACCTTGGGCTGTGACTGTTGTGTTTTTTCTGTCCAGCTTGCCCGAGCGGATAACTCGGTGGATCCATTTCAGCGAGTCTGTTTTTTTTTCCCATAGAAATCACGCTTGGGGTGGGGTTCTCTTCTGGAAACAGCAAACTAGAGGGGTGAAAGGAACATAAAGGAGCCATTGATAGATTGAACTATATCTATCTATATCAGTCTGTCTATATATCTATATATACAAATTATATTATATATATATATATTATATATCCCACTATAATCCCAGTGTTTCATAGAAATTCCAATAGTTATTCCATAATCATAATTACGTACTTTGCCATACCTTCTTGCAGCCGAAAGGGCCTAAGTTTGACTTTTTCTTTCCGGACACTGACCTCCATGTTGAAGCGTCACATGTCTGCAGGTTATTTGGGTTCCAATGTGTTTAATCAATGGATTGGTTTCAAGGAATAATTACAGGAAATCCCTATATATTTTATGGGAAAATCGTTGGTTTCCTGCAGATTTTTCCTTAAGCCAATCCAATTTGTTTGAATTATCATCCGGATTCAGACAAATGCATAATATATTATCAAATTAATTCAAATTAATAGAACCCATGGTTTTGAGGACTGCCACCGAATTCCATAAGTTTGTCATGTCATTGAGGATCTTTCACCATTGTGCTAGGACATATATCCTTCTATTACATCCTCAGCCTTGGATTGGTGGACTGTCAAAGATTGACCACTGATATTTACCCTCTGGTAAACTAACATAGCTATTGAAAATGGCCATTTAGTTCGTGGATATTCCCATTAAAAATGGTGATTTTCCATAGTTATGTTAAATTACCAGAGGGTATCCCAGCCCGAGATTCTCTATAGGCAATATGGCACCCTTGGAGTTGGCCGACGGTGACGTTGAGTCCCAATCCGTCAACTCTTGGAAGGCCGAGGCTTCGATTTTTTACCGAGGGCGGTTGGGAGGTTTCACCAAGACATGGCGATGTTTGATATTTGCTCACATTGAATATCATGCAATATATATGGAAGTTTCCTAAAGTGGGGATACCCCTAAATCATCCATGTTCATGGGGTTTTCAGTTGTCAACCATACATTTTGTTGGTACCACCATTTCTGGAACCCTCCACACATGTATGTATGTATGGATATATAATATAATATAATATAATATAATACAATATTGTATTATATTGTTTTATATTATATTATATTATATTAGATTATATTATATATTATATATATATGTTATGTGTATATATATATATTTCTATTCAGAAAACCAACATTAATGTCATTTTGCGTTTGATAACGGTTGATCAACCCCTCCACTTATGGCCTTAAAATGCTGTTGAACCGGCGTTTTGTTGGGGAATCTTGCAGTTTTTAGACGAATCTAGCTGGTGAAGAACGCCAGTGTTGTTGATACGTGCAGAGATCAGATTGAATCATGAGGTGTTGCAAATAGTGGCTACATAGAGACGTCTCAAAATCGTGTAGAAGCACAACTTGGAGAGATCCATGCGACTGTATCCTAAATTATAAAACTGGGGGGTTCCACTTTTGAATGCTTGTACAGGAACCCCCGAGCTGCCTGAGTAAACTGATTACAACTGATTATTGGTGACTGGTAGCAGCTAGCTCATCGACTCCTGCAACAAGAATTTGTTTTGTTATTCTCATTATTGAAGCGTTTCATCCAATGAAACATCCAACTTGCATCATTTGTTTATTCCTCAGAGATACATATTCCATCATATTCGTTCTGAACAGTAATTTATCAATGTCGCCTGCTTAAATAACACATATCATCATCCTCAAGGAGAGATTTCATATAGACATGTCGAAGGTATCAATCCCAAGGGTTTTCCAACCCCTGGAAACCTGGAAATTCAGGGCCTTTCCGCACAGAAACTTGGACCCCAAGGCGTGTTGAATCTGGGAGCAGTGAATCTGAGTGTTCTATGGTGTTTTACCATAGGTTTGAATGGGATTTACTGGGATTTCATGGTGTTTCATAATAATTGTGGGGTAGTAGGGATACTTCATTCATGGGATTCTAATGGGATATTTATGATCTTCATCCACCCTCCGGCGTCAAACATGGCAAGCTGGGAAATCCGCAAGGTAAATCATCCAACAAGCTGAGTGATTTCCCAGCAAGTTTGATGACACCGGAGGGTACCCTCTGGTAATTTAACATAGCTATTTAAAATGGTGATTTATAGTGGATTTTCCCATGAAAAATAGTGATTGATTTTCCATAGTTATGTTAGTTTACCAGAGGGTAACCCAGGGAATATCCGCAAGGTATTTCAATCAACGGCACGATCCGATGGTCATGGAGCACCTCGTATTACATGGATTTAATGGAATATAACCTATATATAACCAAGGGACTATTCATGGCATGGGGCCACTATGGGATAGAGACATGTTCGGGATGGTCATGTGGCTGCGAAAATGACGCGGGGGAGACCTGATGGCTTATGGTGGTGGATTTAGCCAACAAATATAGATATGATATATATCCCCATGGAAATTTCCCATAGAGAATGGGGTCACTCAAGTTACCCCATTCTTTAGACAGAAAATGCCGGAACAGTTATTTTCCCTACATTTCCCGGGGAAAGTCCGAAAGGTCCTTCATGATTTTCTATGTAAATGTATCTGACCATTTTCTAGAGAGATAAGGATAGATAAGGGCTGAAGAAAAAAAATCAATCGAACTCTTGTCCGAATGCTTCCTGGGTCATTCCTGGGGAATGCTTAAAAAGGCCCATGCCCAGGGCCAAGTTCATCCTTCCATATCAAGTCATTTTCTAGGCAGCTGCTAGATTGATATCAAGAGACAAATTGATTGTGCAATGCATTTTCTAGACCTCTTTTGGGGTGCCCAAAAGCGTCACAAAATAGATCCAAATTCATCTAGATTTGTTGAAATGTGACAAGATGCGTTTCAATGTTCTATTCCAAAAGTGTGAAGACAGAATTTCAGGATTCAGTCAAGTGTGCCAAATTTTTGAAGTGCCAAGAAAAGATGTCTTTTCAATGAGGCACGAACCAAACAGAAAAAATAACATTCTGGGAACGCATGAAAAATCCTGACTCATACAATGTTTTGCTAGAAAATGATTGAACATGGGATGTTTGATGTCTCCAAATGTGTTTTGTTGGGAAGGCTTTAGCTGATGGCTGAAATAATCATTTTCTAGGAAACGCATGAATGCCCACATACGCCCACGCTGTTTTGCGAACAGCTTGACTGGCCGCTTGTAGCCATTTGTGGTTCACTTTTTTGACAAAAACAATTTGTCAAGATGCCGAGACCTAAGAAAGTCGAACCTCCGGTAGGTTGGCCACTGTTATGCGGCCTTGCACTTTGCACTGCCAAGTGCCCAAAGCCGGAATGGAGCGAAGCGCGCAAGTGCTGGAGTGGCTTGGCTGCCAGAAGCCCAATGGCCACTCATTGGATCTACAAAATCAATCAGCATGAAAGAATGTATGAGGTTCTTGGCATTCAACTTGTTTCAGTTTGAAGCATGTGCATATCAACCCTAGTTAGTTCAGTCATTGTCAGTCATTTTCTAGACACAAGCATGATTGTCCAAGTGGAATCTATTCGACATCTCAGTTACTGCTTGCAAGCGGAAAGCTGCAAATGGCAAGTCCAGCCATCACCACTGCTTTTGGGACGAGAATCTCGGATAATCTCGGCATGGGTTCAAAACAGACATTGGGGTTGAGATGATATTGGACGGGCAGAGGTGGTCCCTCCTTTTCTTTTTTTTTCATTTTTTTTCACCTGGTCACCTCAGGACAACGTCAACATGGACTTGGACGCACAGAATTTCTGACCATAAGAAAATGTGGGCCAAGCCTGATGATTCTCGGCTGGCAGTGGCGGGGCGTGACATGCTGACGGGGATTTCGACAGGGTTGGTTTGTATTGAATTTATATGAATTTATTTCACTATGAATATGAACATTTATTTTTGAGAACCAGGGTAGGGATCTACAAAATGAATAAGAATGACCTCTGTTGAATTCCTGTTTTTTTGTTTTTTTTGAATCTATTAGATCTACAGTTGGATACAGCTGGATCCTCAAATGGACCGTCTAATCATGTCCCCAAGGTCTGTGTCCATCCATTTTCTAGAAGCATATGTGGTCACATACACGCTCAACTCAAAACCATGTGGCCGGTAGCAGTGGGCTGGAAGCAGGGTAACCTCACGGGATCTGACTGTGTCCTTGGAATTCCTTGGGCATTCTTTAGCAGTGGCATAGGTTTCTTAATCCAACGGATTGTACCGGGCATGGCGTTGCGATCGGTCGTTCGCTTTTGCCTGTGCATTGGCATCTTTGCAGCCTTTGCAGCCCCACTGCCTTCGATTGATGATGACACGACTTGCAGCATTCCAGAAGACAAGTAGCCTGTCTTGATGGATCATTACACTGTTTCTTTAGAAAATGGCCCTACATGGAGAAATGTCAATGAATATGGATTTGAGATGATTTGCATTGATTTGAGATGGTTTAAAAATGTTGAAGATTTTAGATTAAGTTTATTCCTTTGAATTTAATTTCATGCATCTTGCACTCCAGAACTGTATAGAACTGTTGGTGTTTCATGGTGTTTCATGGTTTTTCATGGCTTTCCCGAACAGGTGGTTCCACGCAGAGGATTCATTCGATACCCTTGTCGCTTGGGCACGCGACATTGCTGTCCAGCCACGTTGGCATGCCCTGGATATCTTTGGCGCAAGCCAGAAAGTATCTTCAACTTGGATGAAGGAGGGAATGAGGGCAGTATCCTTCGACATAAAGATTAACAAGGGCCACGATATCTGCACCTTAGGAGGATGCCAAGAGCTGATTCGCATGGGTCTTCAGTTTCTATCCTGAATGGAATGAATTTGAATGAATTTGAATGCATTTTAATGCATTTTATTTCTGTATCTGATTGTATCTGTATACTTATGTATACTTATGTTTTATTTTATTGTCTTGCTTTATTGTTGCTGCCACTGCTTGATACTGCTTGTAGGAATTTGACGGAGATAAAATGAGAAGTCATTCTGACTACTTTTCTATACTTTTCTAAAAAATGATAAAATATTTGCCATGGTAATCCATGGTGCGCATTGGTATGCTGTACTAAGGTTGTTTCCAGACGGAATAGCGCTGTCGGCCCCACCTTGCAGTTTGTATGGACCGGCATGCGCTTCGGTCCATAAACGATCATTTGCCAATGTGCGCGGTGATCTGGGAAATTTTAAGGTGAGGTTAGCTCGGACTATATGGTGCAATTTCGTTTCCTGGTTGCATGGGTTTGCATGGAATTTCATTGGGTCTCATTGCAACACGTTCCTTTCTAGAAAATGATAGAACATGAACATGTATGAATATGTACAAGGATGATGGTTTCAAGATGTTTCAAGGATGGTGGAATGCAAATACGTTTTTTTTCATGTGTCCTAGAAAATGAATGAATATGGATGGAAACTGAAAAGGTTGATTGAAGCCAAGGTAGAGTGCATGAAGGTGGTTCATTGCATACGAGGGCATCTATGGCTATTGGTTGAACAGCCAAGTGGTTCGTGGGCTTTCAGACAGCCAGAGTTTCTCGAGCTCATGAAACTTCTCGGGCTGTTCTGCGTGTGCACGTGGATGGGTCTGTTTTCACACGACTTACCGAAATGCTCTCACCTGATGACTAATGTCAGGCCCACATGGGCGGGCTTTTGTGGTTAGTCATTTTCTAGACAGGCTTCGGCTTGTGCCGGCGCAGTTTCACAATTTTTGTTCATACCCTTAAACACCACCACTGTCCAATACTGGTCCAGAGAGATTTCGATAGGTACTAATATACCTACAGTAAAAATATCTAAATATAGCCATATATAGCCGACAGATTCCAAAAGATATCAAAAGAATTCAGTCCAGCAAAGGATTACGTTTGAATATGTTTGGCTTCCTGCCCGCGAACAGGGAGATGAGCGCCATGCAGAGGACTCTTCACCCAAGGGATCGCCAACGAATCAAGGCCTTCGGGATCCTGAGGGGTTGCTTGCAACACAAGGTTGAACTCTTATTAATCCATTTACATTCATTTTCTAGAAGACATGCGAGCATGCGCCAGCAATATCGCATGCAATCTTTTTGATTTTTTTGGAATGTTAATGAATTATATACACTGCCATTCATTTGGACCCATGCAGATCCATGCAGGACAGATTTGCAAAAAGGCAGGCCAGGAGAAAGAACAAGAGAGTGGTTTGGTTCAACTAGCACGGCTTTTTATTTTCATCCCCTATCTTGAATCAAGCAAGCTGAAACAAGTCTAAACAAGTGGTATTCCATTCAAGTGTTCAAAGCGAGCAGCTGATACTGTAAGACATGAGAAAACTTGCGTATAATTGCATGTGTCAATGTGTCAATGCCGTTGTGGGCTAAGGAATATCACAAACGCATTGTCTCGGCCGCTGGCAAATCTGGGTGGCAGGGCGGAAAGCACCTAGCACTCACGGCAGAGTGGACTCGGGAATTCTGTATGGGCCTGATGCATTGCTGGCTAAAGGCCTGCGTCGCGCTGCGCCATACAGAGGGACAGTGATGTTCAGCGAACGGCTGTATGTGTGCTAAATGGATCTAAATGGATCTAAATGGACCTCAAAATGGTCGAGCCCAGTGGATGTGATTTGCTTTGCCAGAACATGTACATTCAGCATCATTCAGCGAGAGGGAAAAAACGTGTTGAAAGATGTTGAGAGAAGACTTTGCGCGACCTCCCGTATCCATGTTTTTCATTCTTTAATCCAAAATATCGGTTCATATTCAATCGTGCTCCAATTCCATCCAACTGAATCATCTTTGATCCACTTTCTAGATAGAGTGCTTGATGATGTTTGATGGTAATGTCAT